TGATAAGGTGCAATTGCAATGCCGGGTTATCACAATGTGTGTGGCAAATTGTAAAGAGACAAGAAATATCAGTTAAACAAAAAATTAGACACGATATAAAACTGTTTTTACTGTGTTAATTTACCTTTATTGGAAACATAGCTCTTCCAGGGTCACTTTTCCATCACTGAGGTAAAAAATTTACTACCTATTTCCACTATTATTTGTTAAAGGAATTGGCGAAAATGAGCGTGCCGTGAGAAGACCTTGCTTCACAGAAAGGTAAATAGCATTTTTCGGCTGCATGATTTATCCCGGGACAGAATAATCTACTTGGTTTGATATCTAAATGGTGAGTTTTTCTCTGATCAGTCCCTTACTCTGGACGAGACAAACGGCATGTTCCGCCCGTCTAGCGATACAGCCTCTATATAAGTTTTTCAAGTGCACGATTTAAACTTTGAACATCCTTGCCTAGCAGGCATCTTTATAAGTACGGTTTAAAAGGGATAGTTTCCAATCGTGACACATATTCTTTGTTTTGCAGTGGGTCATTGTGTGAACTGTCTCCAAGGATTTAAAGGGCTCTCCAGTTCCGGGCCATATTTGTTTGTTATTGTTTGTAATTTTAAGCGAACTCTATCAGTTTGCTATAAGATCTTAAAATAAATAATCATGCTTTGTTGGAAAAAGTTATATTAAAGTTCAGTAAAGGAAACAAAGGTCTTGCCTTTCTTTCTATCTTTTTTTTGTGTGTTTTTGTTTGCGTGTTTGTGTTTATGTGCGACCATATATTGTCTCCTCGACTTTGGTGAAAAAACCCATCAAAACTTCAGAATTGAATAAGACAATTACCCAGTTTTCAATGATACATGAGGAAAAAAATTTCAAATAAAATTCAACGGAGCCTAAGAATACTTAAGCACCGAGGCTCGGTTGGCTGTCGTCATGAATATTCAGTAACGAACAGATGATATTAGATTAACAGTCGCAGTACTAAGAATGTAGACGAGCAATACTAATCCCTCTGAAAGGCGTTCAATCTGATGCTTTCGATATTCTTTTTTGTGATCTGAAAATTGAATTTTGTTATCATATCAAATAGGGTATTCGAAAATCTTTTTACACAGTGAAAACAATTTACTGTAGGGAAATGAAATAAATAGCCCGTGATATCACTTAACAGACAGATAATACGGTAGAGCTGATTTTAAGTGGATACTTAGAGTCCTTCAAAGTTGAGCGTGCGGGTAACTTTTTTATGGACACCGAACGGTAAATGATAAAATTTTTCATCAAAACTCAGCGAATTTTACGCAGGCGACCGATACGAAACTCCAATTTAAAATTTGCCTTTCTTTTGTACTAACTTCGATTCCCCCTAAGAGAATTAAATGGTTTAATTCATCATGTTAAATATAGCATTCGAGTGATGACAGCATGGAATGTGAACAAAAACATTCGCCAGAAGCGAAGCGAAAGCATTATCTAATGACTCCGGATTACAATTAAATTTTAAACTGCAAAATTTATTCTGAGTGGATTCTTTAAAACCCCTTCAAGTGGGTGGGATCAATGAATACCGATCTGACCGCCCCAAAACTAGATATTGTTTTGGTATTGAGTGGCGATTAAAAAAATACCACAGATATTTCTCTTCTAAGGAACTCAGCTGTGACTTTGTTATGGATGTTACTTCAGAAATAACTTGACCGCACGCGCACAAAACCTTATCTGGCTAAATATTTTCGATCAGCTTTCTTCGCATCCTCCTGTGTTGTTTTGCCTGTGAACGAAAACATAAACAGACAACTGAATAAATAACAGAAGAAAGGTACCATTTGTATGAATTTAAAATATATTAATTTCGCTGCCCAAGAAAAGCCGATTCAATTCAGTTCTGCCAAACTGTTCTTTGACTGTTGACACACCACATTTGTGTTCATATATGGATTTGTTAACCGCATCTATTTCTGGAAATTTTTCAGTCGAATGTTTGTTTAAAATGGAACCTCTCCAAGTCATGACTTTCCAGCATTCAGATCGCCAGTTATTAAAACAAAGTTTAGCCGTTGTTTGACAAAAGTGCGTTCTAAACTACCTTGAATTTAGCTGAATCGCTCATTTGAACATTAGCTTTTGTTCACAGTGTCAAGAGAGCCAAAAGCTAGCAGTGTAAGGACATTTCTTTCATGAAAACAATTTTCTTAAAGAGAATACATGAGGCCCACTGCTTGCGTACAACCGCGGTTTGGGTTACACTTCGTGCAAATAACCGGCCCAAAATATACACGGATCACGGCAGTATGCACAGCTCTTAAAACGTTGAAAAAGCTGGAGAATTAATAAGGGGTCGGTTCAATTTTCCGTCCACATCTGGACGTTCGTTCCAAATTACGCCGTAAAACGAAGACATTAGCCTTTTCGTCAGGCTTCGAGCCTTTTCTGTCATGGAGTCCTCTGCGTAATTTTATTCAGGTAACGATAGTTGTTTCAGTTCGCACGAGAGCCGCAAATGTATCGATAAGAAGAATTGATTTTGTTTTCTACTGCGGTTCCTAATACGGTTATTAGCATGAAATTTCTTCAACATAATCAAAAGTAAGAACAAAACGTAGCAAGAGAAGTGATGCTATGATACACAACAATAACATTTTAGACAAAGCTACGGTAGAATTCATTCCTGAGCGACAAAAAGGTTATCAAAATTGATTTACAATTCACAGGAGACAACGCATGGCTACATATTTTATACATAGTATACTCAATTTATTGTGTCCTTGTCGGGTTAATCTTTAATTTGTCTGATACAATCGTCCTCATTCCTCGCTACGTAAACAGTGACAACATCAACAATAACTCTCGAGACATTTTCCCTTCAAAACTTTACAAACTCAAAGCACATACTACAGAAATAAGTTTAGGCTTGCTTGATCGAAAACATTTAGATTTGGAGCTAACTTATTTGGTAGAACTCACTCGGAGCAGAAATTTTAAAGGTAAAGGAATCAAAGAAATACAAAAAATGCCCTTGATGATATATACCGTTGTGGAGGACCTTTAAGTGCAGTTGTATGCTCTATGGAGGGGCACGCCAATAACTCGACGAGTGAAATTGCTGAATTTCTTGTGTTCTTTAATTTGGTTCATTGTTTCAGTAAAATATTCATCATATCCTTAAGCCACGGTACTTAACAATTTTGCGAGAAGGAAGTGACAAGTTGAACTCTTTGTGCGAAATAGTACCTCTGGAAAGATGTCTTAGAATTACAATTAAGAATGCATGTATTGATTCCTAAAAACAATGCGTGAAAAGATGAATGATATACAAGGAAAAATTTATTTCCATCACGTTATAACGTGCCGCGAGCCTATTGAAGGTCACGATCAAACTATAGCAATTAAGTTACGGTCATGTAAAGTCACTTTTAAAACATGTTTGCAGGAAGTTTCATCTAGGAACGAAACCTTGCGTAGTTATTTAGAAAATTAGGAAATGATACTTTTTTGTTTTCTGTATCTTGTCTTGAAAATTTAGTATGCTCGTGCCTAACCTTGTTTGCAGTTCACTAACCTGAACGACCTGGTATAAATTGGCGTGAAATGCTTTTTTAATGGAACAAGTGACCTTTCACAAGTGTTTTAATTAAGTTTAGGCTTAGGACACGCTATTTATTGAGTTGTAACAGGCTACGGTCATGATTATAGATTAGAAATATTTTGACAATACCCGTAGATGAATAGATCCGTTTACGGCTATGGAATTCAATTGAAACCCCAAAGCTTCTCGTTACGTAAAAACCGACCTCAGAACGTTCCTCTTGTCCTATTTGAATTTTTATCACGCAAAAAAAAATTATTTCCTGACGAAAATAAGAGTATTAATAGAGATGTAAAAAAAACGACCGGATTTTTCGTAAAATAGGCTGTCGTTTATGTCCCTCGCTAAAAAGTCACCATATTAAATTAGGCCGAGGTAGCAGATTCTGAGACAAAGATTAACCGTTCACGTCTTGGGTGGTTTTTTTGGTTTTGTTTGCTTTTTTAACAGCCCCTTTGAATAAGTTAGCAACGGAGAGCTGATTGAAATGTTTAAAGCTTGTTCTTGCCCATGATCGCTTTTTTTATCTTGTTTTTGACTAATGTTTACGAGCGATATTCCATCCTCGGTTGGCGGAGTTAAAATATCTTTCTACCAGTTCAACTGTAATCGTTTTTTTGTCAAATGCACTAATGGATGTTCATCAAATGTGATCACTTTGGATGATATAAGTCATGGAAGGAAAAATAAACAACGTTTATGGATGCACGCAACAAGTTTTGTGATCGCAAGGGACAACAAAGCGAATTTAAATTGTAACTGCACGTGTAGTGTCGCACGGTCGTAAGTATGGAGAAACCTGCATCATGAGGGCCGGTAGGAATTAGTTATGAACTGTACGCTGACCATGTAAAAACGGGAAAGATAAATATTATTTCAACGCAAGCAAACAAGCTAAGAATACAATGAAATGTTTATTTTGGTATCGAGGGAGTTTCACTGGTGTTGTAAAGACGGCTAAATTCAACATACTTTATCTCAAGCTCAGTCCTAAGTATAATTTCACACCCAACATGTACGACAAGAAGCTCGATTGCCTCTCTATTACATGCACCATTATCAAAATTCAGACTTGTTTTCTTTTATTTTCCTCCAGTTTGATGAGTCACTTAAACGGTTCTTTCTAATTTATGCAGCAATAAAGATGCAGTCTTGACCTAACATGGTGCTATTGTTGCATAGATTAAATCTCTTTGTCAATCAGATTGTAAAAATCACCGATGATTTTAAAATTGAATATTTTTGACAGCATTAATGAAGCATGTGCTTGAAAAAGAATTTATGACAGTCCCTTTCCATCTAGATTTACTCGTTTCACAAGTGATTCTTAAAAATGACATCATGACCAGCTATGAACGTATTGTTGAACTGAATAAGTAACGATTGTCCGGTTTAGTATAACATATTACTATCCCGTAGCTCACTCCGTTTTCTTCCGTTCTTCAATTCGTACATAGAACGTCTCAGGTGTTAAAGTGAGACCAAAATTACCTTCAAGATTAATGCCTTGATACACACTCGACAAACCTTCCTGTGAAAATCGGAAGCTGTGAAGCAGTGTTGCAAGAAGGACGGGGATTGTTCTTAAGGCCAGTGATTCTCCAGGACATTTTCGACGACCTGCAGAGAATGGAAGGAACCCTCCAAATGACTTTGGATCGATCAGCTCACCATCACTGTTCAGGAAGCGCCATGGATTAAAAACATGCGGATCTTTCCAGATTCCTGGATCGCGATGCACAGACCACAGGTTAACAAGGACCATCGTGTCTTTCGGGATAACAAAGTCGCGGATTTTCGTCTCCTTGGTCGTTGAACGGGGCACTGAGAGAGGAGCAAGGCTCGTTACCCTCAGAAGCTCGTAGACTGTGGCTTGGAGTAGGGGAAGCGAGGCCAGGTCCTCAAGAATGGGAAGGCGTTCTCGTCCAACTACGTGGTCTAGTTCGACTTGGAGTTGACGCTGGATGTCAGGATACTTGATCAGGTACGCCAGGGCCCAGGTAAGAGTTGTGGACGACGTGTCAAAGGCCCCACCGAAGAGATCTGTTATAGCTGAGATGATCTGCTTATCATCGAGCAGAGGAGCTATTTCGTGGGTGTTCTCTGTAACTGGTCCATTCTCTTTCTCTTTCATCATTTCTTTCTCGAGAACATTGAAGAAACTGTCACCCACGTTACGAACGTGCCCTTCGGTGTAGCTCTCTTTGTTCTGCATGAACATCTCAGCAACGCGATCAAAGGATTCCTTCATTAAAGATACAAAATCGGAGAGTGACTTATTGGGAAGATACTTCAAGAAAGGGAAAAAATCCACATGGCTGTTGCTCTTTAAAGCTTTTCCAAAGCTCTCGGAAAGGTGAAGTATTCTACCAATAGCTTCATCTTGGTATGAGAGATTCACTCCAAAGAGTGCATTAAGAATAATGTTTCCTGTGGCAAACTTGAAGGTTAATAGAGGATCAAAGGGTTTGCCTTTCTGTTGTTTAATGCAGAAGACCAAGCGATTACATTCCTTCAACAATTTTTCTTCCAAGTTGCTTTTATCCTTTGCAAAATTCTGCATCGCGGAGGCACTGATCTTACGGGTTAGACGCCACTGTGGAGTGTAATCACTCAGGGTGAGACTGGTGCCCTCACGATTGCCAAGTTTAAAAGTGTGGAGCTGTGGTCTCCCAGCAAAGGCTGTGGAATGCTTTACAAGGGCCTCTTGAATTGTATCGAGTCCATTTAGCACCACCACCAGGCGATTCCCAAGCATCAGACTGAACACGTCCCCGTATTGCTGCGCCATCTTGGTGAACTCAATATGGGGATTTTTTCCCAAACGGAACATCGCACCTGTTGTAACATGGCAGAAATGATCAACACCACAACAAAACTACACTACTAAAAAAAAAAGGTAACATTGAGTTGGAATAGCAACAAATACACCGGTTTGGGTAATATGAGTCTCACTGTGCCACTGCTTCCGAGACGAATTAATGGAAGTTGAAAGAAGGGAAATTTTTGTTCCAAACCAGTTGTCTTTGTTGCACACACCTTTAAGTAAAGACATGTGAACAGTACACTACTATGGATGTGAAAGATACAAATAAAACTGGGACTTGAAACTCTAGTCTGTCGTCGATTGAATAAAAGGGGTAAGTTTCGAAAAAACTGTGGTGCTGCGTCGGAGGGAGAGTATAAAAGGGTAATTTAGTATAATCGAATGAGTTGATAACGTAAATTGGCCACCGTAAAGAATTTCAAAGCTGACATCGAGCGATAACCCTTTGTCATTGCTCTGACTAAGGGCTAACGCTAGAAACGTCAGTTTTAAAACTCTTTACGGTAGCCAATTTACCGGAGTTATCGGCTCTGTCGTCGATTGTTTAGGTTTCCTGTATCTTGGCTCACTCTTGTGAAAGTAGAAATAAGTGTCACATTGCATGCCATGCTAACCTTATCATGGTCTATCTCAGCCTGAACATAAAGGTTATCATCAAAGTACATCTAAAGTATGAAAATTTTTACACTTCATAGCTATTTAAGTCCGATTGTGGCATGGTGCTCATACTTGGTGAGTAGCAAGGACAGCAATGACAAAATAAGTTATCAAAGTAACTCAACGCTAATCGATTAAGACCTACAGTCTTGAAACGCTATGGTTCGAGTCGAAACAGATTGCGGTTCAAACTAGACCTAGATATTCGTACATAGGAGGTTTCCTTTAAAAATCCACGTGTCCTAGGAGATGAAGCCCATTGGTAAAATAGCCCTGATAGCCCAGCCCTGATAGCCCGACCGTGATAGTTCACCCTTGCCGATTGCTCTCCAGCTTTACCCAGCATATGACGTGAAGTTCCTGTGCTTGTCAAGACTCGTGTTTGACGCTTTACACCCTAACGCAGTGTGCACACTCTCCATACTGTACTTTATGCATTACTTGAAGTGCTGACAGTTAAATTTGTTTAGCAATCGAGAGATTCTTTAGATCGTGATCATTTCCTTAATTCTCGTGACCTCAATGTGTGATTCACGGATGTGGTTAGCTTTGGCATCTTTATGGCGTGGCTCGCCTTCTACTGTTTTTAGGTGAAAACGAAATTTCTTGGTCTGCCTTTTCAAAATGGCGACTTAAACCTCGTCGTCTTCTTTGGCGTTAATTTTCATCTAATGACCGATAATTCCAGAAATTGCTCCTCCGTAAAAGATTTTTAAGTTCATGTTCTGAGACCATGCTCTGATTCATGCTCTAGGTTCATGTTCTGAGATCATGTTCTAAGTTCATCTCAAAATAAACAAAGTTACACGACTGTCGGGAGAGAACATGCAATATTCGTCATGTCCATAAGCTCTCTTTAAGCAAGAGACACTACCTGTACTACTTCTTCAGTCGAAACAGGTTTTTCGGTTGATTTTAAAACCAAAAAGTTTCTCCGTTGAACGAGCACTTCCTGCTGCTTCTTCTTTGCCCTCCCCTTCTTATAGCTTCATTTTTTGCGGTTTACCTAATTCAGCTGTGCAGAGTCGTTCAGTCCGATTTTTTCGAAAAGAGACGATTTCAAAGAAAGCCGTCTTAAAAAATGTATGTTTACAAATATCAGAATGTGCACTCACACTAACTCACAATAATGGGCTTGGGTAAAATAAAACACCATTGCATGACTTTTAAAGATCTTTCAGAAGGTTAATTCAGGGTATGCTGAGTTTTCTGTGATGAACAACGACGTGGGAGAAAAAGTGAAAAAGCGTAGAGTATAAGAATGTTAGAAAAAAAAGCAAACTCACCTATCACTGGTATGCCCCAAGGACCTGGGGGCAACTTGGAAAAATAATTTCGCCATATCGCTTTTCCTGTTAGAAAAACACAGGCAAGAAGACATAGGACCGAAATCTGGCCAGGTGATAGAAAATCTGGGAACGAAAACCACATAGTGTTCTCGTAAAACCGCGAACGTAGTAAGCAGTGGTCTTAAGTTTTCCACGTTAAGCAAAAATTGTGTTGCGATCAAGGTTCAAATGCCCTTAAGAGGGGTATATTGAGGTATAAATATGCGGAAAATTTCTTTCACGCCACTGAGCCTCTATTTATTTAGCGGCGATCATCACGCCACGCTTCTGATTTGGTGGCTCTCAGTTCACGGGGCGACCGCCTTTTTTGGTTATGTGATTACTGCGACCCTTAAATCGTCCAAAAGCGCTTTTTTCTGCTAAACTTTTAATTGAATTCAACTTATTAAAGAAGGTGTCAATCGGATCGGTGATTTCCTTGTAATTTGCGCAAGTTGCGTATCCTAAACTTATTGTGAAGAGGCAACTTTTCAACGACAAGTTCAGCACAGGAAAATGTTGATTGACCTTGAGAGGCTCCATTTATCGTCAAATCTATTTTTTTTAACAGATTTCGTGATAAATTCTATTTTCGACGCTTTTGTGGGGAAATATGACCGTCTAGCCCAAAGGTCACTCTGTACATATTTCATAATTCGGCTATCAAGACATGCCATTTTATTTATTTATTTTTTGTTTTAGTCAACTTGTTGTAACTTTTTTGTTCTTAGAACACGTTGAGGCAATTGGTAATTATCCTGTCATGTTGTTGAATCGAGGTAACTAGTGAGAAATTTGTAGGGAGAACAAAATGAGCCTCGTTTGGAGACGTCGACGATCCTTTCAGAAACGTCTGATGACACGATTTTGTCAGGTGATCTAACTGGGCTGTGTCTAGTCTGCGGCTTGAGAATATCGTGAGATAATCTTGCCATTTTGTCATGCAATATTTACATTTTGGCTACTATGCCAAGATGAATGTCAAGTTTTAGCTTGACAGCTAGCCGCCAATGTTTACATTTCTGTCAAATCGTGTTTTTAGGATCCTAAAAACAGCTTTTTTATAAATCTGAACTAATGCGTGCCCGTCAGTCTCGCCTTCGTGCAAGCTATGACTTGGACCTCAGTTTTTATCAAGTAGGTTCATTCTGTACAATCTGAAATGACTACAAAAATAGTTTTTTTTTTTTAATCTCTTTACAACGAGTCTATCAACACGTTCTAAGAGATATCAATATTTCGTAATCAAGGATACTAAATTAAGTGTTACTGGCAATGGATATTATTTTGTGTTCTAATCAAAGATTTTTAATTGCAAACTTCCGCTCGCGTGTAGGTTTCCTAAGTTGCGATTTGCTATCATACTCAAATAAAACCAGGTTAAACACAATCCTCGTTTATCTTGCTCTCTGAGACCACTAATGATAGAAAGTCGCGACAGAATGTTAGCACATCAAATCTCCTCAGTGTCGGAGGGGTTCACCAGAGATATTGAGTGGTAAATTTCCACACCCGTTCTTAAGCCTTTTTTTTACCGCCTACAATTGGTTAAGCAAATACGACCTAACTTATGCCATATTTTAGCCGCCCGTGACTAAAGGCAGATGTGCGGTTAAACGCTTCTCTAACAATATTTTGGTACAGAAAAGCCGAGACAAGGAGTATGCAATTATTATTATTTTTTTTTTACTAGTCCATAGAGCGTAGTTTCATGCAGACTTAGAAGATTTTATCGAAAGTCCTGTCTTCTTCGAAATTTTTCTCATAAGATAAATCTACGTCGCGGATTTTTGAGCAAACTGCCTTTTAGAAACTCTTCTCATAAAGTCGGCAGGAAAATAATATAAAAAAGTACCGCAAGTTTAGTATCCGTAGGTTCCGGTTGTAATATATTAAGAAGCATTAAACCTGGATCATGAAAAGATACCGAAGTTTGTTAAATTCGGGAAATGCTTTTCTTAAGATAATTTATGTAGTTTCAGTCATCAATCGGAAACCTGATCTTTGGAGCATTAATCTCACTTATATAACGATGATTCTTCCATGTCAAAATTACGCGACCCTACCTTACGGGACACTTTACGGGACCTTATGGGGTTTCCAATTTCGCGCATACGCAGCTTGTGACTGATAGGAAAGGGTGAATGATCTCCATTCTACGGTGGTTGTTTTTTAAAGTAATAAAGGCCTTAATGTCCTTCACTCTTTTAAACCACTGTCTAGCAAGCTTAAACAAAATGTCGGCAAGTGTGTAAAAATTAAACTATGATATGCAAATCATATTTTGTATTCCCTGTTAGAGGCAAGAAAAAAAACCGCAGGGCTTTTCAAATGTTCAAAAATCCCGCTATTTTTACTATGGTTTTTTCGAGTCCGCGAAAGTTCCTGACATGCGCAGACTTTTTCAGTTTCGTCCCAACCGACAGGCTACGTTAACGACATTGACCGACGATATTCACAAGGTTTGATCCCTCACACATTTTCCATTTGAATCGTGTACCTGGCGGACTATACGGTCTATACGGCCCAACAACAATCAGCGAGCGAAGTACTAAACTTATGAGTGAGAAATAATATGCAAACTAGTAGAAAGCGACTGCAGACTAAAATTCTTTTGAAAGCTGTTAAAATATAATTGGAATTTTCTACAAAAAGGAATCAGGTGAAAAACTAATGGGTACAAATCATATGAATATTGTACTACCCATTAAACCTATGAAGTGTTATCAGGGTCAAAATTACCATGCAAATTGTGTTTCAGTTTCAATTCAAAACCTATTCTTTTGTTTACAACGAATTTCGAAACTAGTCTTTTTCTTTGCAATTACTTTCTAGTAGTACCTGTTGCTGCATGCCTCTTTATAAATAAACTTTATCCCCGACAAATTATTGCTGCGCATTTGTTGTGGTGAATGATACACACGGGATGTCCGAATTTTGATTTGTAAATATATTTTTTATAATTTTCAGTTTTGTGCACAGCCTATGCATCAAATTTCTATCATAAAATATAGTATCTATCTAAATACGTTGGGTATGATTATTTTCCTGTGAGTGTGTGTTAGTAGATTGTTTGGAACACCCCCTCCCCTGTAACTTTTCGTTTGAACCAATTCAAACAATTATTTCTCTGTTTGATAAAATTACAGTCACTGAGTTAAACTCTAATTTTCTCCTTTCTCTCGCTCTCTATTATTTTTTATAGACCGTCTATGCAGGGGCCGCAGTTGCCGTTATTACCTGCATCGAGTTCTTCTTAGTGTTTGAGGGATGGTTTTCTGAGAGAAAACGTGTTAATAAACTGCTGTCATCTTGACAAGTTCCTCGGTTTTCATCGATGCATGTCAACGGATAAGTTTCCCTTCTGACTTTCGGTAAACTAGGAGAGTGATGGGGAAAAAATTTACGATAAGTTTACATAACTTTTAGTGAGAACGGGATATTGATGGTTTTTCTCAGTGTGACAGATAAAATTTTAAATTCTCGTAGAATCTTTTTTCTGTGTATTGAATTAAGGTTGGCAATAATTTTCATGTCGCCTCCACGTTACCCTGGTGATCACTCCAACATCAATTTAGAAACGATACATTGCTGAAATTTCTCACTGAATTGTTATCACATTTGTAACACCTTATCAAGGCGAGCGAGCACCATTTCTTTATTAATAATATAAATGAAAAAATTACTCAGTTCTGATTGGTTAAGATAAATGCAGTTTCCAGGTAATTCAGTACAGAAGAGGGGAGGGTTAATTCAGTACAAAGAAGTATAACAAAGCAGACATTCTGATTGGTCAATAAACAAAGAAACTCACAGATAGCCAATCAAGTGCGAGCCTCTGATGTCGCAACATTTGGATACGCTGAAAATTTGCGATCAAAACAATGGCCGGCATCTTACAGCAGCTGAAAAACAGCTCCAACAACGAAAGCACTGTAAAAAACATTGCTCTTTGGTTGTCGGTTTGGACAAAGTGGTGTTCAGAGAAGGGAACTGCCAGGTAAATCGAAAATTACGAGCCGACCCAGCTTAACACTTAACTCGAGCGATTCTACACCAAAACTATAAACAAACATGGGTAAACCTCGGAAACGACGATTCCATTTCATCGAAAGTAATTCGGACACAGACTGAACAATTCTTTGAACTGTTAGCCGGACTTTTAACTTTTTTGCGCCTTAAAGATGTGAACGTATCATTATATATTACTGTTTTGATCGTACACGGTCGTTTTGACCGAACGCACAATGTCACTTGCAGGGTTTGAATGAATTATTTTTGCACTTGACGTGCACGCTTTGCTTCTGCGTAATTATGATAAGCTATCTCGTATTTTTTCATGTATATTATCAATACGTAATCACATGATTTTTCTCGTGCAATTTGGAATGAATAAGCACTTGTTAATTTTTTAAAAGACCACAAAATGCACTGGCCCTACGGGCTCATGTAATTTTGTTAGTTTTCGAAAAAAATTTACTTGTGCTTATTTATTCCAAATTGCACTCGAAATCATGTGATTACCTATACTAATACTGAAAAAAAATTTAGTGAACTTTGCACCCTGATGCTAGGTTTTTTTCCCTTGGAGAGAGAGAATAAGTGTGTCGTTAAGTTTTGCGGCCATCACTTGCAGTTTTTACCAGTTTTTTTAAAGCTTTTCAGTATGGTCAGTATATTCGGAATATATTCATGATTGTAGCTCAGGCTTTGATTATCATGTTAGGAGCTGATCTACCTTGATCTCTTTGTGTAATAAGGTGTATTAGACAATTTACATGTATGCTTATTATAATACAATTATGTAATGTTTAAAATCTTTTGACGATATTGCCTGGATTTGTGGAAAAGTTCACAGGTGTTTCTAAACATTATTTATCGATTTATCTATCGAGCGCTTTTGTAAAAGGTAATTTCCGACATCTTTTGATTTTGATTTTAGTAGGATGCGCAGACGCAGTAAGGTGAAACGCAGCTCGTGTTGCGTCCGCGACATCAGCCGCTGACTGACCTTGATTTCTAGCCATGTAGGTAAGCGATCCAATCTTAGTCCAGCATGAAAACACTTAAGATATTTGTACCCTAAGCTGCAAACGTTGCGAA